ATTACCCAAGACATGCACCTGATATCTGAACAAAAGCAAGTGGTCCTTCTTCTTATTCTTTTGAGTGCTGCCTGTATGTACATAGCACTAATTAAGTCACTAGGACCAAAGCTGGACTCAGGAGGTTGGTCCCCCATGCCACATGTGACCAGTAAGGACAGTGGCAGGGCAGCTCCATGTGGACAGGGTGGAATGTCCACTGTGGAACTGCCTATAAAGACCATATGCCAGTGCCCCACCACTGGACACCAACGCCTCATCCTAGGCACAAAGCCTCAGTACCCAACGCTGGTGAGTTATCCTTAAAGCCACTTTAAAAACAGCTGTGTGGACAAAGCTAACACCAATAATAACTGTAAATAGCACAGAATAAAATATTACCCCCATGCTACTAGATAAGAAAGCTGCTACGGTCTGAAGCATGCTCTTGCAATCTTCTATTATGTAAAGTGTGAGTAGGTACCGCAGGCTTGTAAAATTGGGATCATACTCTGCTATTTTAATTTACTGAGCTGTTTACACTTCTCTGTACTATCACTCATACTTCGGAATAGTGATTTTAGGGGTTTCATTGTATTGTATCTTTTGGATAAACCAAGTGACCACAAGTATGACCTCTCCCTCATCTTCCAAGCCATATGACCAGGGCAAGAGAAGGCCTTTTGGGGAGACAACAACTCTGCTGGTGGGAAAGGACAGAACTGTGACTGAAGCAGGCCCCTCACAGACTCACCCAGAACTCTTGCTGGTCACTGGTGAGGACCCCACACCGTGTCAGGGGTTGTCACAGCTTGGTCAAGATTTTGACATGGCTATGGTAAGTTTCAGCTAATGCAATTAATATAAAAAGGAGACACTTACTTTCAGATGACATTGTTAACCTATAGAATATGAAGTAATTAAAATCTATTAGGACTAGTTAGAAAATTCTATCATTGGCAGCTAATACACACAATAACGGAATCTACGGCTTTGTGAACACTTCAGCAGTGACAGGGATGGGAGTGAAGAAATAAGTTCATCATAAAAGAAGCACAAACAGAAAAAAACTTAAAAAACAGTTAAATATGACACCTTTGACCACACATGAGAAAGTAAACACAAGCCTTTTTCTCGTTAGGACAGAAGCAGCCTCAACCACTCATGTCACGCTCCTGAGGTAGAAACTTGGTATGAGAAGCGATTACCACTGCAACTCCAGGACATTCCTAGGGCAGTACTGAGATGTTCTGAGCGCCATTCTGAAGTTTGTCTGCAGGGGTGAACAGGCAAGATGAACTAAGGAAGCCTAAGTGGAAGGGCTGGGGTGGGGACAGCGTCGCCCCAGTTAACGGAGCACTGGGGACAGGCAAACGTGCAAAGCGGCTCCCTCCAGGATGCAGAGGGGGCTTTGCCGATCTGTTCAAAAAGAACCTTCAGAGTTGTGAGAGAGGACATGTAGACAGCTATTTTGTAACAAAACTAACAGTCAAGTGAGGACAATGATGGACCTTTAAATGACACCTTTTATTTCTAACTCCTGTATCAGTGAGGAAAACACCAGGGCAACTACAGAAAAAGTGCAGGAATGATAGTAAATGCAACAGCTGAAACAACTGCTGCGCGGCTGGAGATAAAGCTAACCATGCGGAGCTGTAGGAAAATGAGCAAGATGAAAGGACCGTGATATCAATTATGGCAAGACAAGGCAAGTACAGCTCAGGAGAGGAAACCTGGGCGTGCAGCTGGCACAGCCCAGGCTCAGGAGGGGTGGGCGGCCTCTGCCTGCACAAGACAGCCACTGGGCTAACAAGGGCTGCATCACTGAGGAGGCCAGGCTGGCCCTCAGAAGGCCCTGTTCCCAGCAGTCCATACTTCAGAGGAGCTGAGGTACTCTTCCCAGTTTCCTTTTAAAAGCCTCCACTGCCCTTGTGACCCAAGCAACTATGGCCACCAGTACAGGCCTGGTGACCAGGATGGCAAGCCCTGGCTACTCTCTGGTGACCTGTCTTGGAGAGCCAGTCTTCCCACCACTCACATTAGGCCAGCATGGGCCTGGGGACCTGCGGGCAGGAGAAGAGAAGGGTCTGCTGTGAGTCACTAACTCCATATTGGTTTCCACTAGGAAACATCAGCCACGCATATTTCCTTGATGAAGGAAGGAAGGAAGGAAGGAAGGAAGGAAGGAAGGAAGGAAAGTTCCTTAAATATTAAAAAGAACATAGCAAACTCCCAAAGCAGCAACTCAAGGCAGCCCTCCTAATAGTCTCCTAGTCTGGAATAAAACAGCTGATTCCTCAGCACAAACCCCAGGCACTGCGCCTCCTGCCTCTGACCATCACTCTCTCTTGGGATCAAGTCAGAGGAGAGAGGAGGACTCCACAGGGAAGGACCAGCCATGCCCTTGACAATGTGTCAAGGACATACGTGATTCTGGGCATTAAAGCCATTACAAAGGCCTTACTTACCCAAAATTAACAACTTAAATTTTATTTTAAAAAGACTCTCATTCCAAATATGAAATTCTATTCAAGTTCACTGATGATTTAATGACACCAATTTGACTGTGTGTTCAAGAAGTCTGTCTGACAACACCACTGCCAAACGTCTGAACATGTGGCATAGTGAGAGCTTAAGCCATCAAAATAGAAGCCTGCTAATGCAATATGATTATGTAGTTCAAGGCTTTTATGATCTCCATTTTAATGAAAAAATAAACTATTAAAATGCACACTGAAATGTAACATTTAGTTTCCTTCCCTGTTTTGGGGCCCCTGGCCCAGAGACTGAGTCTACAGCCAACTTTCTGGGGCCACATGCACAGTTGCAAGGCCTAGAACGTGGGTAGGGTGATCTGGGAGAGTCCTCTCGGGCCCTGACCTGGCCAGAGTGTCCATTCCCCAGGCCCTGAGGTGAAGAGGCAGGATCAGGGAGGGGGCACTGCACCCATGAGACTCCAACCAAGAGTCTTTATGTTCCCTGCATCCCAGAGCTACCCTGGGTGTACCCTGGGTGAACGCAGGGTGCATCTACTTCTGAGCTCCCTTTTCAGAAAAGCTACCAATTCAACTGACATATAACGAGAACATAACGAACTAGCCTTTGCCAGTCCTCTGCACTGGCAGCTACCCCTCCAAGTCTCAGCCTGTCCCCAGTCACACAGGGCTTCTGGGCTCCTCTGCATGAACACTCAAGGACAGGAGTGCCCCAGGGGCAGGAAACAATAGGAACAATTCATTGGGTCTGGGCTTTGCACAAACTCTGCCATGCCCCACAGCAGCGAGGACACCTGGGGTACATGGTCACCCAGAGACCCTACCCAGCAGCCAGACATGCTGGTGTCAGGACATGACAGGGAGAAACTGGATGATGACCTGGAGGTGGCCTTTCCTTCCCACGCCTGTGAGACAAGGAGAGTATGTGGTTCCCAATGCTGCTGCTGAGGAAGCAGTTGATACCAGAGACAAGACAAGTTTGCAGACTGCCTCTAGGAGCTGCAGAAATGCAAAGCAACAGCTCAAGGGAATACGTAGAACAATGGCTGGGTGAGTTGCCCTGCTGGGTCACCTGAGGCCAGCTGAAAATGTCTTGCTCCCAGGGCTGAAAGCCAGGCTGAATGTGCTTCTGCGGCCAGGGCCCTTGCAAGGAAGCAGGCCTGGCCTGTCCAAAGCATTGTCCGGCTGCTCTGGGCATAGCTGAGGCCTCTCACCAGCAGATCCAGTCCCACAGGTATCCTGCTCCCTAGCGGGAGGCACACACATCCCTGGATGGAAACTCAGACCTGCTGCAGGGCCCATCCTCCAGGGCAAGGCAGGCTCTGATGTAGCTGCCCAAGCAGCCAGTGGGCAGACAAAATCCCTTGTTCAGGACCCAGCACGATGCATGAGCAGTGCGGCCCTCCAAATGCCAGGGCACCCCTGGGGCAGCTAGCTTCTCTGAGAGGCACCACCATGTGAGGAGCACTGTATGACCGAATGCCTGTTGCTCTGGCCTGCACCATGGTGGGCTTGCAGTCCAACCTTCAGCCATGGCCAGAGCCCTCAGGTGAGTCACCCTGTGGAGGCCAACTGGAGCCTTGTGAAAGACCTCGGGTGAAGATTTGCTGGCTGCTCCACCTGGATCCCAAGCCTCAGAAAGTGAAGTGACACAAGTTGGCTGTCAAGGCAGCTAAGGGCCTAGGGGGCTTTGTGACACAGTGATACAGAACTTATGAACCTGGTTGGGGAGGGGGGCGGGCGGGGAGAATTCTTGCATTTTTTGGTTGTCTTTTTCATTTTTATTGGTACCAAGGATCGAACTCACGACTGCCTGCTTGCAAGGCAGGTGCTTATGCCGCTGAGCTAAATCCCCAGCCCCTAATTCTTGCTTTGTTCAACGTGACTAACAGAAAATTTAAAATTACCTCTATGGTTTCACTATAGCTTCATGTGTTTCCACTGGGCAGTGCTGCTCCCCATGGACCTCTTACAGTGAGAGGGAGGAGGACCACAGACACCTGTGGCCCGATCAGCATAACTTTCCTGTAGGTCACTAATATGTTTCCCTCAAACTTTTTTTTTTTTAAATGGGGTCATATTAAATATTTGCAGAGAATAAACAAACAGGTTTTGGCTGACAGGTTTTTCTTCTTTCTAAATAAAATGAAAATATTATCTTTTGCCAATTATGAAAAGTCAATGGGAAAAACAGAGAAAAAGTCGAAAGGCCCCAGAAAAAAATCGACAGAGACAGAAACACCCCAGAGATGCCCATAACTACCTTGGTGCTTCTTCCTGCTGGCAAGCACTATACTCCCGCACATATTTTTAGAACTCTTCCACACAATGACTTAAGTGCTGCTCACTATATCCTACCTCCTCTACAACATATATAAGCCCCACTGGAGATGGACATGCAGCCCAGGTCCTCTGCACTAGCCTTGAAGTGAGGGTCACCTGGTCCAAAGGTCCTGGTGCTCCATGGGGCAAGACTGACCTGGGGTAGGGGGAGGCAGGTGCCCCAGAGCAACTGCAGGGCCTCACCTTTATGTGCTCATGCAGCTGGGCCTCATGCTGTCGGGACAGCTGCTCGTGCTGTCGTTGGAACTCAGCAATGAGGATCTGCCGCTGGATCTGCTGCTTCTGCTTCAGTGCCAGGAGCTCCTGCTGCAGCTGTTGCTCCCGGAGCGCCGGTTCAGCTACAGGCATCGAGAACTGGTGGTCCAGGCGCAGGTCCATGGGCACTGTAGTGGGCGCCACCTGCAAGGGCAGTGCCGTGGCCACATCCACTGTGGAGAGAACACAATAGAGCCAGTCACCCCAGTGGCCAAGCAGCTCCAGGACCCCTCCCTTTCCCCACAACCCCACGGGCAACTGCCACAGGTATGTAGGCTGAAGAACACTTGAAGTCCCAATGCCCCTGCTGGGCCTGGACCTAGCAGGCTCCATGCATAGGGTTAAGGGCTGCTGGTCCTCAAGCACAAGATAACAGAAGCAGAAGGTCAGAACAGGAGACAGACTTGCACAGACCTCTTCCCTCCCTCCTCCTGCCCTCCAGGAGTGGCGGCCCCACTCTCAGAGGACCCCATAACAGGCTTGACGGCTGGGGCTGGCCGACATCATGTTTACAAGTCAGTAAACAAAAAACACTGCCAAGGCACTGACTGGCCTGGAGAGGAGCTGCTGTGGGCATGTGGACGGGCACTCCCTCTCCTCTGCCCTCCCCTGCCTCCAGTGTACTGCAGAGTTGTGTATGAGCCTCAAGAACACTGTGTGCCACAAAAGTGGTCCAGACAGACACTCGATCAGAGAGCCTGTTTCCATGGCAAAGCAAGTGCCCGCTTGCAAAATATGTTTACCAGACTGCAGCCAATAAAATGTGCTCCTGGCTTGTGGCACAAACTCATTTATCAAGGCTGGGCTTCAGCACTTCCGGCCTTACTAACGCGCTAGCTAAGAAAGGCTACTGACAGACTCTCAGGTCGGTACTGAAGAGGGCAAGGTAAGCAGGAGAAAGGCAGGTGTCACGCTAGGGCAACCAGTAGAGCAGCTACGTGTGTATGCCCTCTCCACAGGCTGGTGGTGTGAGCAGCGTGAACCATGGGATCTCGCTACGGGCCTGACAGCACGGGGCCAGGCCAGGCACATGATGCTGCACCTGCCAATGCCAACTGGGTGGAACCAGTCCCTGGGCCCAGGTGGGCTCTGCTCACTGAAAGGACCCTGAACCTGCCCTGAGCATATTTCTCCACCAGCAACAAGCAGGCGAGTCAGAGGCAGGGCAGGTTCAGGGACCTCACCTCCAGGGAGGGCTCTCGACTGACAGGCACAAATACCAACACACAAATCTAATGGCCCCTATCTCCCATCCCAGCACTCCTAGAGAGTGCCCACTGTGTGCTCGGGGACCTGACCCAGCCTGCAGCTTTCCAATCCCAAGCCCTGGAGAGCTGTGGGGTAGACCTGGCCACAGCCAGGTCCTTCCAAAACACTGCATTTATTCTACCCATAGCCTCTCAGCCACGGGAAGGGGTCTGCAAGGGGTGCTTCCAGAGCATCTGTAGTCACTGCCGTGGCAGCAGGACCCCAGTCAGCCTCAGTGCCCAAACAGCTGGAGGCCAAGGTGTGGCCTTGCTCTGCTGAGGCAGTAGGGGAAAGGCTTGCTGTAGAGGCCAGACTTTGGCGTCCCTGGGCCCTAACAGCAAGTTGCTGCTCATCTTCTGGGAGCTGTGACAGCCACCTGAGTCCTCCCATCTCAGGCCCCCAGAGCTCAGGTATAGGGGTGCTGCTGGAACATTGACAGGAATTGCTAACTTCCCACTCAGGGGTGTCTGCAGCTATCTCTGATCCGGCCCTGCCACCCTGCCAGGACTTCCCTTGGCATGAGCAGACAGAGGTCACAAAGCCAGAAGGAGCTGGAACCCAAGAGCACCTGGGCCTTGGTCACAGGGACCAGTCAGGCCATTTCCCTAGAGAGTGAGAAGAACCCACACAGCCCAAAGGCAATGGGGAACTCCTGGACATCTGAGGATGGCAACCCAATGTATCATCCTGGGGCTTCTTCTCTGCTTCCTCCCCAAATCTTCAGAGCTATGCATCCCCTCCCTCCACCCCTTACCCCGCCACTTGAACACAGTCTTCACAGCTGACTAGGTATCAGACCTGACACAGCAGAAAGTGTCGTCCGTGTGCATTCGATACGCAAGATCTGGCCCATACCACAAGGGGTGTCTTTTTAAAATCAGTTTTATTATGAAATATAGCAAAATGCAGAAGCTGTTAACAACACCAGTTCTCTAAAACATCAGTACAGACATTTTTAACGACCTGTTTAATGACTGCTAGGACTGATGTCCCACTGTTCAAACTCACGACCTGTCTTCTTTTGTACAGTTCGGCACATCTACTTTTAGAGCCTCTGCGTCTTTTTTTGTACAGTGCACCTTGCTTCTCCAGTATGCATTTGTTGCTGACTGTGCTGTACAGTACATTACCGTACTTTTATGTTGCTATACATTACAGTACTGCATGTCAGAGTCAGCAAATAAAAGCAAAGTCATCAAGTTGAAAGTTCCTTTGACCATTCCTTTGTTCTGAGTATTTTAAAGTACACTCTATACAATTCTTTGTTTTGCAGCCAGTTCATTTAACCATCTAGTTGTGGCAGCACTGTGGGAGGGTTCCTACACCTGGGCAGCACACTGGTTATGCACCCACGCCTGCAGCAGGAATGTCTGTGTTTTGCCACATTCTCCTGTCTTCCTTTTAATGAGTGAAATACTATGGTGGGGAGCAGGAGAGCTGCCCAGCCACCCTAGCCAGGAGAAACACAATAGGATAGCACGGAGCCCGCTCAGTGCAGGCTCCCTTGAGGGTTAAGTGTACCATCTTACTGACCCTGGGGTGACACACCTTTCACTATGTGTGAGAGGTTATCGCCACACCATCGTCACACTGATCAGAAGGGTTCACCTGTAACACACCGGGCTGCCTGGCTACTCTGAGCCCACCCACGTCGGTTCCCTCTGCTTTTAGGGTTACACTGCTATTGTTCTTAGTACCAATGTGTTACACACACACCCACTCACTAATGGATTTAGTTTGCTGCCACTGTACCAAGCTTTGAGTCTACATTCATTGTGAGATGTGTATAAAAAGTTTCTCTGTCTTGCATTATTCCTGTCTGGTTAAGCAGTGATAGTTTGGCTTTAAAAGCATGGAGAATTAATACAACAATCACACTGACTCACATTTTGTATGCTGTACTACTTCCTATGTATCATGTCATTTGGGCAGGGGTGAGGCTTAAATGTGACCCATTTACAGACGTGTCACTGTGACCTAAGGACTCACAGAGTGGCAAGGCTACACCAAAGGTGCTAGGCACAAGAAGACAACCCACTGCTTGCACCTGCATGCCATTCCTCACTTCCAGCTTTACAGAAGAGGGAAGTGCCCAGTGGGTAATCTGTTGGTCTGACCTACGGCAGGTGTGGACATATACCTGGATGCTGACTAGAGATGGGAACCCTCCTACCACACTGCAAAGCACTCCACTAAGACAGCTGAGAGTGAGTGGGGGATAGGGCTGAGACGCCAGGAGGCCCCAGAAGATCCTCTGTGCCTACGTCTGGCTGGACTTGGCTGGCTCTGTGCAACCCAGCAGAAGAGCCGAAGTACACTGAGGCCACCAACGAGATCCCAGAAGCAGTGTCCATTTTTACCAGTCTAGGAAGGAATGGGAGCAGTGCCTCGATTTACTTTTCTAAGGGACCATGCAGAACTTTATGCTGCTGTGGAAGTTCAAGCAGAGCCCCCACTGCCTGAATCTCGTGTTCCATAACCAGCCATGGACTCTGCTTGTGACAGGCACAAGGAAGATGTGGACCTGTGCAGACAGGGAGACCCCCGCCCCCAGGGTCCTGGAGACTCAGCCTCCCATTGCCACTGCCAGCCTCTGGGGCCAGCAGAGGCAGACCATGTCCACACAGAGCCCAGCCCTGCCTGAGCCAGCTACGGAGACAGAAGCCCTGGCCCTCTGCACTCACGTGCGCAGCCCTGGAAGCTGCGTCAAACACGACTTTTGCTATTTCTGTATCCACAGCCCTGGAAATGCCATCATTCCCAACAGAAGCCACTGGCGCTTTTGACCCAGAGCCCTGAGAAAACAACAAAACCTTCTCTACTTAAAGAATGTGGCATCAAAACAAAAAGCCTGTATTTTCATGAATATTCAATGGTGGAGTAGAAAACTGCTTTTATAGGCTGTGCCTTGAGAAACATATTAATACAATCAGACGGGTGACGTTAGCAAGGACACAAAGACCACATTCAGCCTTCTGAGGAGAACACAGGGTGGCTGGGCTCAAGCTCCCCATTAAACAGGGAGCAGTAGGCTCGCTGCTCTCTCCTCCTTCCATACCCAACCATAAAGAAGGACACTGATCCTGCTCTGTGAATCAGTGCCTCTCTTCCTGACACCACTCCATGCTATCACATAGACGTGGGATAAAGCAGCACTATTCTCTAGAAAACACGGCCAAAGTTGAGGGTCTTTTCAAGTGAAGAATGACTCATTCACTTCGAGGGAAAAATAATAGATATTTCAACTATGTAACCATCACTTCCTTTTGCTGACATTTTGCCTGTGTGGGGGTGGATGGGGGGGCACAGGGAGGAAGGGGAGGAGGGACCATGTTGGCGATGCAGAACTCAGGTAAAAACGCTCTCTTGTGGAAGCATGTGCTGCCCATGCCGAAGGCCGCACACGTTAAGAGGACGTCAAGAAAGAGCGTGTTCTGCCCTGCAGTCATGGCAGCCCACCTGGCCCAGCCTCTGACCTGAGTGTGCTGCCCAGTGCTTCCTCTGCCGTTAACACTGAGGAAGGGCACAGGGACACAGTGCAGTAAGGTGATAGAGGCTTCTGAGGCAGGATGGCCCCCAGCCACATCTGCCTTCAGCTTCCGGGACAGTTGATAAGCACTCTCTCTGGTCACAAGGGACCCAAGGAAACCAGGGCCAGTCAGCTGCAGCCTCTGATGGGGCAGTCAAGTAGGCTGGAAGTAGATCCCAGGACATGGGATGCCCAGAAGCATGGTCTGGAGAGGGAGCTGTGCTCCCCCTCTGCTTCCGCCTACTCTGGGCCGTTACAGTGCTCAGGAGCAGTCAGCCCTCCTGGAATGCTGTCCTCAGGTAAAGAGGCAGCAGGGCGAGGAGGGGTAGTGACAACACTGCAAAGAGGCCAGGACTAAGAAGACCTAGGCAGACTCACTTAGACACTCTGGTTTCC